GGGTGGTAAGCAGGAGGGGGAGCAAGCCGAGAGGAGGAGGGCGGGGGGTAAGCAGGAGGGGAGCAAGCCGAGAGGAGGAGGGCGGGGGTAAGCAGGAGGGGGAGCAAGCCGAGAGGAGGAGGTGCGGGGGTAAGCAGGAGGGGGAGCAAGCCGAGAGGGTAGGGCGGGGGTAAGCAGGAGGGGGAGCAAGCCGAGAGGAGGAGGGCGGGGGTAAGCAGGAGGGGGAGCAAGCCGAGAGGAGGCGGGCGGGGGTAAGCAGGAGGGGGAGCAAGCCGAGAGGAGGAGGGCGGGGGTAAGCAGGAGGGGGAGCAAGCCGAGAGGAGGAGGGCGGGGTAAGCAGGAGGGGGAGCAAGCCGAGAGGAGGAGGGCGGGGGTAAGCAGGAGGGGGAGCAAGCCGAGAGGAGGAGGGCGGGGGTAAGCAGGAGGGGGAGCAAGCCAGAGGAGGAGGGGGGGGTTAGCAGGAGGGGGAGCAAGCCGAGAGGAGGAGGGCGGGGTAAGCAGGAGGGGGAGCAAGCCGAGAGGAGGAGGGCGGGGGTAAGCAGGAGGGGGAGCCAAGCCGAGAGGAGGAGGGCGGGGTAATCAGCAGGAGGGGGAGCAAGCCGAGAGGAGGAGGGCGGGTAAGCAGGAGGGGGAGCAAGCCGGAGGAGGAGGGGCGGGGGTAAGCAGGATGGGGGGAGCATAGAGAAGTAGGCAGTAAATGCACACCCTGAAATCCCACAGACTGCCTCTCATTCTGAAAATTCTCAGAAGGTCACGACCGCCCTCATCTTCCTCTCCCTCTACTCCCTCCCCCACCCCCCGTGCAGGTGTCTCACGTCTTGTCGAGCTTGTGGCCGCCCTGCAGACCAGGAGGAGGAGGAGGCAGCAAGCAGCAGAGGAGGAGGTGGGCGAGGGCAAGAGCGCGGGACCCACGGGCGGGCTGAAGGGCAGAATGTCGTCTGATATGCGCAGACGAGCCTTGAGCGCGTTGGAGGAAAGGGGGGACGGCTGGTGGGGGGGGGAGGGGGGGTGAGCGTGGGGGAGAGTATGGTGGGAAGAGAGAGGAGTGCGTGAATGCACTCTGGGTTGCTGCCCCATGCTGAGGCTGAAGGGCAGAATGTCGTCTGATATGCGCAGACGAGCCTTGAGCGCGTTGGAGGAAAGGGGGGGACGGCTGGTGGAGGGGAGGGAGGGGTGAGCGTGGGAGAGATGGTGGGAAGAGAGAGGAGTGGCGTGAATGCACTCTGGTTGCTGCCCCATTGCTGAGGCTGAAGGGCAGAATGTCGTCTGATATGCGCAGACGGGCCTTGAGGGCGTTGGAGGAAAGGGGGGACGGCTGGAGGGATTTGAAGGGGAGGGGGATAATGGGAGAGAGGAAGAGGGTGGAAAGGAGAGGGGGGCATGACTGCACATGGGGCTAACCCTCGGGCGGGCTGAAGGGCGGCGTGTCGTCTGATATGCGCAGACGAGCCTTGACCGCATTGGAGGAGAGGGGAGACGGCTGAGGGGATGGGAGGCAGAGGTGAGTGGGTGGTTGAGAGGCATGGGGAGAGTGGGGGGAGAGGGGGGTGGAAAGAGACAGGGGGCCTTGAATGCACACATTGATGCACACATTGATGCACACATTGATGCACACCCATACTGCAAAAGGGAGCCTTAAGCGCGCTGGAGGAGAGGGGAATGGCTTGACCAAGAGTGTAGGGGATGGGAGACGGGAGAGGGGGGAGGAGGGAAGACGAGAAACTGGGACGAAGAAAGAAAAGAGTGCTAAATGGAAGAAGGGAAGGTGGTGGTGCTGCAAGAACGGACGTTGGGAAGAAGGGTGGCAAAAACAAATCTAACAGTGGATGAAGTGCACAAGATGGTGGATTCCAAAAGTGAGTGATAAGCACGCATGGTTGTGTGCATGTCGATTAGTGCACCCATGACTAAAGGATGGGAGATGTACCCCCCCCTCCCCCTCCAAGCACGCATGCTTGAGTGCATGTCGATTGGTGCACCCATGATTACCTGGTTGCTCTGAATCTCCTGCGTGAGGTGATGCAGCTTGATGTCCTCGATATAAGGATGGGAGATGTACCCCCCCTCCCCCTCCATGCCCAACTGCTCCGCCACCTGGCTTCACGCGCTTGCGGTCCTTACCTATCACCTGCATGCAACGGCACACAACAACAAGAGACCAGCAGACACAACAGACAAGCACACCATGCGGCTCTTTAGCATACCGGTTTCACAAGCTTGCGGTCCTTGCCTATCACCTGCACGACAGGAACGCAACAGACGAGCACACCACTTCAGCCATCTCCACTCAAGACCATACCATCTTTTGAGGCGCCTCAAAAGTCGTCTCATGTCTCGCGGTTTTTATGTGGGGAGAATTATAATTGCATGGAAGTGTGCACAGTAACCTTCAGCGGTTACTCGTAAGGGCGCGGTTACCAAAGTCACTTCGCAAATGCTGTCGAAGAAGTTCCCGAAGGCTGACTTGGCACCCTGAATTTGTTTCATTGCCTAGTTGGCGAACCCCTTTCCTAGTTGGATTCTGGGGTAGTTGGGTTTCTTATACGTAGATCTCGAGGGTAGTCTAGCTATTTTAGCTGCTACCAGACTCTCTGTTTCTGAGTTCCGAATTGTGCTGTACTGATGAAGGCGTGATTGGGTTCGCCCATCCGCCGAAACTAGTTTACGCAAGGAGGCTTTTCGGAAGCTAAGGGTTTTTTCAGATCTGCGTTTTTCTCACCTTTTTCACTGTTTGATTCCTTTGCTTAAGCGTCCTCTCTACTACTGCAGCCCTTCGAAACATGAGTCAGGGTGACCCTTGGATACCGAATGGTTTCCAGAAAACGAAGAGGCCGGTACCGAAAGGACGCGGCTCGTCGAAGAAAGCTCGTGGGCGCGGAGGATCGTCGCGTCCTGCTACCAGGAGTGCATCGAAGCACTCGCGGGACGGCAGTCGTATTCCGCCTTTGCAGTTGACCTACGAACCTGTTTCACGAAGCAAGCAACCTGAGATTCCTCCCCCCGGACCTTCTGGGAGTCGTCCAAGCATGGAGATGCCGGATCAGCCCGTTGACAATTCTCCGATTCCTGAAATTTCAAGAGTTGGACTACTGCAGCGGTGAAAGATTTCCGGGACGGCTTCAAGGACCTTCTTAAAGCGAAAAGCAAGCTTAAAAAAGATGAAGGAGTTGGATCGCCAAGGTTCTATTCTGCACAGCATCAGGACTAAGGCGGTCGAATTCCAGACGAAGAACGACTCCGTCAAAGAGAAATCTGCAGCAGCTGTCGCGAAGATCCACTTGGAGAATAAAAAACGGCTGCAGGCGGAGTTTATCGCTTCTAAAGAACTGGAGGTTGAAGAAATTCAGGCAGCTGTCGGCACGCATGTCACGACTCTGGCGACGAAGATGGAAGAGTACATCAAGGGCCTCAGCTCCGACCCCGATCTGGTGGTTTCTGATACCGCCAAAGAACGCTATCCGGCGACTGAAGGGGCGGTGCATCGAGAAGGCTCAATCTGACATCGCGGCGGCCAAGGATGAGATGACCATCCGAGAGATCGATCGACAGCATAAGCTGGCGGCTGAGGATTTGAAGAAGGCTGCTGCAGCTGAGGAGGTGCAGGAGATGGAAATGGAGCCTGCGATTGAGGAGATTCTGGCTAAGCATGCCAAGAAGATTGAAGACAAGCTTCGGCGGGAGATTACGCAGAAGCTTGAGGCCAGTCTATCTAAGAAGCTGCAGAAGAATCTTCACATCGGAGAGCAGAACTCTTCGCAGGCCGCATCCGCTGACAAGAAGCAGACGGCTCAACCTGGGAGGCAGGACGGTGCACCTGGGAAGCCTAAGCCGAAGAAGAAGCGGGGTGGTAAGACTCCAAAGAAGCAGAATTCCAGCGCCGACAAAGAGCAGCAGGCGAAAGGCCCTACCTACATCGAAGGCCAAGGGACCAAAAAAAACGGCGGAGGCGGCCCCGGAGAAGGGCCGCACAAGAAGTGACCAGCCACGATTTAGCGCTCCGTTGGTTCGCGAAGCTAACGTTTCGGCAGGCGGCGTTACGAGTTCGCAACCGCGGAGTTCATAACCTCAGCGCCAAAGTCTTGTCCTTGGACGAGAAGAAAGCGCTGGGGCTTGGTCTGAAGTTTATCCCAACGCCCGCTGTTTCCCTTTCTACGGTCGAGTTAGATCAGCTTTGCCGACAGATTTCGCTACGTTTCTTCTTCAAGGATGCAGACCCGGCTAAGGACTATCGTTTTCGAGTGAGAAATCCGAGTTGGGCACCTGATCGGAGTGAGATTCCGGAGCAGGTTTTCAGAGATTCGTCCTCGGACCTATCTTTTCTGCTGAAAGCATCTAGGCCTCCTCGACACCGAAACATCTCGTTACGTGTTCGACAGGCCTTGCGTTCCATCGCCGCAGATCGTAGTGTGGTTATTAAACCGGCCGACAAGAACATCGGGATCACTGTGATGGATCGGGAACTTTATGTTCGTCTCTGTATGGACCATCTAGGCGACAGATCGACTTACACCCCGGTTCTCCACGATCCTACTGCCTTAGTCGTTCAGGGACTGCACGAACTGCGTCACGCATGGGGCCCCTACTTATCCCGACAGCCTTTGGAAGTATTTTCTAGACGAACCACCTGGAGGTTGGAAACCCGCAGCCTTTTACATCCTTCCTAAGCTACATAAGAAGCAGCTCGCTGGGCGTCCGATCGCCGCTTCGCATTCATGGGTTACTTCGAATGTCAGTAGATGGTTAGATGCGGAACTTAGGCCGTGGGTGCTACGACAGCATACTTACCTCCGAGACTCTCTTTCGCTACTCTTGTCGCTGGAGGAAAACTTCATTTCCTAAAGAGATTCTTCTAGCCACGTACGACGACTCGTCGCTCTACCCCAGTATTCCTCTTAGGCGCGGACTCGAAGCGGTGAGCAGCATTTTGCAACGAGGGAGTCACCACAGTCTTCAACCAGTCATGGCCCTACTGGAGTGGGTCATGATGAATTCTTACGTGGAGTTCGACGGCCACCTGTACCACCAGACGCAAGGGACCGCTATGGGAACTCCTGCAGCGGTCTGCTTTGCGGTACTTTTCATGAGCCGCCTGGATGAACTTTTGAGGGAGAGATGGTCCGGAACGCAACCTCTACGCCATGTCAGATACATCGACGATGGCCTGATTCTTTGGCCTGGATCGAGGAGTGAGTTGGAGAAGTATCTGCAGACCTTCAACGAGCTTGACCCGAATATCAAACTGACGTGGCAGATTTCGGACAGCTCAGCTGATTTTCTTGATTTGGTCTTATTCAAGGGACCGAGATTTGCTGGGCAGGGTATCTTGGATCTGAAGACATTCCAGAAACCGCTTAACCGATACCTTTATCTCCCTTTTTCGTCTTTTCATCCCCGACACTGCAAGACTGGTTTCATTGCAGCTGAACTGAAGCGTTATCTTCTCCGCTCGACTTCTGCAGATACCTTTCTCGCCTCCAAGCGCGCTTTCTACCAGCGGCTACGAAGTCGGGGTTACCCCTCTGATTTCCTTCTACCCATCTTCAGGAGCATTTTCTTTCGACAACGACCTCTCCTTCTGGAGCAGACTGCTGCCCGCCATGCACACAAATTTGAAACTCCCCCCGAACGCGGCCCCCTAGTCTTGAAGACACTGTTCACACCTTTGACCGGACGTCTCAGGCTGGGGGTGCTTTTGAGGCGCCTCAAAAGTCGTCTCATGTCTCGCGGTTTTTATGTGGGGAGAATTATAATTGCATGGAAGTGTGCACGTAACCTTCAGCGGTTACTCGTAAGGGCGCGGTTACCAAAGTCACTCGCAAATGCTGTCGAAGAAGTTCCCGAAGGCTGACTTGGCACCCTGAATTTGTTTCATTGCCTAGTTGGCGAACCCCTTTCCTAGTTGGATTCTGGGTAGTTGGGTTTCTTATACGTAGATCTCGAGGGTAGTCTAGCTATTTTAGCTGCTACCAGACTCTCTGTTTCTGAGTTCCGAATTGTGCTGTACCCATGAAGGCGTGATTGGGTTCGCCCATCCGCCGAAACTAGTTTACGCAAGGAGGCTTTTCGGAAGCTAAGGGTTTTTTCAGATCTGCGTTTTTCTCACCTTTTTTCACTGTTTGATTCCTTTGCTTAAGCGTCCTCTCTACTACTGCAGCCCTTCGAAACATGAGTCAGGGTGACAACAAGAGACCAGCAGACACAACAGACAAGCACACCATGCGGCTCTTTAGCATACCGGTTTCACAAGCTTGCGGTCCTTGCCTATCACCTGCACGACAGGAACGCAACAGACGAGCACACCACCTTCAGCCATCTCCACTCAAGACCATACCATCTTGACGTTGCAGGGTGTTATTGAGCAATCTTCAGCCATCTTAAAAAAAATACACCTTCAGCCATCTTCGCCCAAGTCCACGGTCCACACCATCTTCTCTCTACCCTGCGTGCCACCGTCTATTTCTCGATAGGTTCGCTCTCGTTGCACGATCTGATGTGTGCTATCACGTGCCCCAGAGCCACTCGGCCAGACACTCTCCCTTCCCCATCCCACTCCCCTTACCCCGCCGTCCAATCCCCATCACTCAATCCTACCACCTGCACATAGGTAGCTTTGAGCTGCTCGATCTGACAGTGCGGTGTTGGCTTGCCCCTTCCAACACCGCACTGTCACCCAGACAGGGGCAAGCCAGCGGCCACCCTGATGGGGTTTGTCTCGTTGTCCTAGAACAACACGAGTTGAAGGAAGTAAGGCCTCCACAGCCCACCTGTCTGCTTCTGACAGATCTGACAGTGCGGTGATGGCTTCCCCCTGCCAACACCGCACTGTCACCCAGACAGGGGCAAGCCAGCGAGGTGACATCTGAGTCAACTCAAAAGTCACCTCGTTACAATGGCACACGAGACATTTTGAGTCGACTCAAAAGTCAGTGCGGTGTTGGCTTGCCCCTGCCAACACAGCACTGTCACCTAGACAAGGGCAAGCCACTGGCCACGGTGTTGGCTTCGCCCTGTTCACCCCCCTTCCCCCGGTGGCCGCTGTTCTCAAAGCACGATCGATTCGCTGTGCACGATGTGGGGTACTTTTGAGACGTCTCAAAAGTCGTCTACTTACACGCAGATTTTATATAGAGGGTTGTTTTGTTGCTTGGAAAACTGGTTGTAACCTGCAAAGGTTACTGGTTCGCGCGAGGCTCCCTGAGCACCAGCTGGCGGATTGTGCTACTTCAACGTTACGCCACGAGGAATGAAGACCCCGAAGACTTGGACTTTTCTAGGTCGTCAGGGATTGGCCAACCAGATTTCTGGCCACGGTTGCAACAACCTGGAGTTTGCCGAGACGTAGTGTTTGCCCAAATGCTTCATCTTCCTCATTCTCTTTCATTTCCACTCGCACTGATGAAGGTGTGATTGGGGCCTGTCCCGTCACCCGAAACTAGTTTGCCTCGTTTTATTCTTTTAGTGGAATTTTGAGTCAGATTTCTTGAAACTCATTGTTTTTAGCAGGAATTACAACAGATCGTACTGTTAATCCTCTGCTAAAGAATTCTTTTAGACTGCTGCTCGCCTAATCATATGGCTGAAAGCACGATCGACTCGCTGTGCACGATGTGGGGTACCTCGTGCATTGAGGTGATGTTTGAGGCGCCTCAAAGAAGACTTTTGAGGAGCCTCAAAGAAGACTTTTGAGGCGCCTCAAAGAAGACTTTTGAGGCGCCTCAAAGATGACTTTTGAGGCGCCTCAAAAGTTGTGCACGATGTGGGGTACCTCGTGCATTGAGGTGATTTTTTAGGCGATGTGGGGTACCTCGTACCCCAGCACAATCAGCCAGGACACAACCCCTCCTCCCACGCACCTGTACATATGTGGCTTTAAGCTGTTTGATCTTGTCAATCTTCACAGCAATCGTGCTGCAGCCCTCGCCCTGTTCGCCCTGCTCTTTCAGCACGATCGACTCGCGGTGCACGATGTGGGCTATCTCGTACCCCAGCGCCATCAGCCCCCACACTCTCCGTTTCCCGTCCCACTCCCTTCCATTCCATTACCCAACCCCCCCCCTTCCTCCCTCCTCCCACCTGCACATAGGTAGCTTTCAGCTGCTCGATCTTGTCAATCTTGACTGAAAACGCCGCGTTTGCTTCCCCCTGCTCGCCCTGTGGGGACACCTCTTTGATCACGATGGACTCGCGGTGGACGATGTGGGCTATCTCGTACCCCAGCGCCATCAGCCCCCCCAGCAGCCGCACCGACACACTAAAGGTGATGCGCGGTGTGATTATAAAGGGGCCGTCCGTCACCCACTCCTGCCAGAGAGGGGTGGGGGAGAGGACAGCGCGATGGGGGGAGGGCGAAAGGGAAGGCTTGGTGCGCAGTGTGTGCTAGTTTGTATACCAGCGCCAACAAACCCATGGCGGCCGCACTGGCACGCCGATGAAGATGCACGGTGTGATTATAAAGGGGCCGTCCGTCACCCACTCCTGCCAGTGAGACGTGGAGCGAGGAGAGATGAAGTGGGAGAGCATTATGAGGGGATAGGAGGGGGAACGGTCGGGGGTTGAATATGGCAGCAGATGAACAGTCTTGCATCGTCAAGGAGGGAGGAGAGAGACGGAAGGAGCGAACAGGGAGGTGACTTTTGAGTTGACACAAAAGTCACCTTGGTCAGGGGTTGAAACTGGCAGCAGACGAGCACCCTAGCATCGTCAAGGAGGGAGGAGGAGCGGATGGGGAGGTGGGCTGAGTGGGGGATCTAGGCGGGTGGGGAAGCAGATATCGAGGTATGCGTATGCACACAGACGCTGACATTGGGTGACTACGATGCCAGGGGGTGAGCATGCAGGGCACCTCACCCACTGTGATATGGCTATAAAAAGAGTGACGGACAGGGTTAGGGGAGTGGCATCTGTAAGAGACTGTTTGGAAAATGAGGTTTCGGAAGGGAGGATGCGGGCACAAGAATGGGACCACCAAGCGATAACTGATACAAAAGTGTGATTGATTCTTCATGGTTGAAAACAACCTTCTTAATGAGAGTGGTGTAACCACAAAACACATAAACAAAATATAGTCAAGACGTGTCGAGAGTGGGATTTGAACCCACGCCCTTTCGGACTGGAACCTTAATCCAGCGCCTTAGACCAACTCGGCCATCTCGACACATGCACACTCAACACAATAACACAATAACGTGTTCCACACGCAACATGTACATCGTCCTACCTGCCGCTCAGCATGCCTCATTCCCAACACGCACCTCAAACATGAGCGAGTAGCGCCCATCGCGGTTGCGCATGCGCAGGTACGACTGGCACGTGTCCTTGTCCTCCCCGGGCGGTAGCAGGTAGATCTCATACGTCTCCACCTCCTCCCGCGTGTGCCCCCCTGCCAGCACCGCTCTCACCCGCTCCTCCCACCCCTCGCCCTCTGCTCGCGACTGCACCCTCCCGTTCAGAGGCCAGCGGGGAAGAAAAGGAGAGGAACGGAGGGAGTACGGGGGAGGAGAGAAAGAATGGATGGAATAAAACTTGTGAGAAGGGAATGGGTACACAGAGGACAAGCAGTGGAAAAGAGCAGGGGTGTGGGCTTGGAGCGGCAGCAGGAGGGCTCAGCTATGGTGCAGGCCAGTCCAGCGGCAGTCACACGGATTCCACATCACAGGCTTGCTTCTCCATCAAGTAGAATTTTGATAGATGTGAATGGTGGGAATGTCCCGTGTGTGGCACACACGAATCATTAAATGTACTAGTCAATAGCTGCAAGGCGGACCAACGCCCCGCAAGGCAGGGCAGGGCGGGGCGGGGCGGGGCAGGGCAGGGAAGGGCAGGCAGGGCGTGGGTTGGAGGGGTGACCTTGAGGAGGTAGGTGGCGTCCTGGAAGCCGGAGAAGGGGTTGAAGTTGACTGTTGAGTGGACTCAGGAGTCACCCTTTGAATCGGCAGGGCAAGGGAGGGGGGGTTGGCGTCACCTTGAGGAGGTAGGTGGCGTCCTGGAAGCCGGAGAAGGGGTTGAAGTTGTTCACCATGCGGATGTGCGCCGTCTTCAGCTCCGGCTCTATGAACGCCTTGTACATCGGGTACACCTGGGGGGGGAAGGTGTGCAGGGCATGCAGGGCGTGCAGGGCATGCAATCAGTCTGGCACATGCGAGTGAGAGGCAAGCAAGATGTGCTCCGTCTTCAGCTCCGGCTCTATGAACGCCTTGTACATCGGGTACACGTGGGGGGGGGGGGAGCACGCAGGGCATGCATTCGGGGCATGCATGCAGGGTGGCATGGGCAAGGGGAAAACAAGACTGGCTTGATGAACGCCTTGTACATCGGGTACACCTGGGGGGCGAGCAGGGCATTCAGGGTGGCACGGGCAAGAGGCAAAGAAGACTTCAGCCTCAACGCCACTGGCTCCATGCACGTCTTGTGCATCAAGTCCATCTTGGTACACCTGGGTAAACCTGGGTCAGGAAGTAAGCAGGCAAAGAAGGAGCAAGTGGTTCACTGTTTGGCTCCTCAGGAAGTAAGCAGGCAAATTTCCTACATCACACGTACATAAGACGAAGCGACTGAACCGGTACGTGCCTCTCAACGTCTCTGGGGTCTGTTGCCTGATGCTTGCAGGCACCTGCTTCCACTCTGCGCCACTAACTCACGCGCTTGGAGATCTGGTGAATGATGCTCAGGCGCCTGGCCCACCCCATCCCCACTCTCCCTCCCCAACACACTAACTCTCTCGCCTGTCCCACTAGGCGCCTCCGACTTACCATTTCAAAGATGGATGATGCTCTCAGGCGCCTGGCCTATCCCTTCCCCACTCTCCTCTTCCTCACCCACAAACCCTCTCGACTGTCCAACTCACCGTCTCTGAGATCTGCTGAATGATGCTCTTGGGTGCCTGTCCCGAGCGGTCAATATCGCGCAGAACGCGTTTGACGAGGTCAAAGTGCACCCCGCCCACGATCCCATCCGCAGGTCCAGCTGCGTTGCCACTTCACTCTGCCCCTCTCCCCACTGACACACCATCTCAAATTCGCTGTCTGATGCTCTCAGGCTCCTGGCTCACCCGTTCCTCACCCTCCTCCTCCCCTCCTCTTCCTCCCCGTTCCCTCCACCCCGTTCCCTCCACCCCCAACCCTGACTCACCGTCTCTGAGATCTGCTGAATGATGCTCTTGGGTGCCTGCCCCGAGCGGTCAATATCGCGCAGCACGCGTTTGACGAGGTCAAAGTGCACCCCGCCCACGATCCCATCCGCAGGTCCAGCTGCGTTGCCACTTCACTCTGCCCCTCTCCCCACTGACACACCATCTCAAATTCGCTGTCTGATGCTCTCAGGCTCCTGGCTCACCCGTTCCTCACCCTCCTCCTCCCCCTCCTCCTCCTCCCCGTTCCTTCCACCCCGTTCCCTCCACCCCCAACCCTGACTCACTGTCTCTGAGATCTGCTGAATGATGCTCTTGGGTGCCTGCCCCTAGCGGTCAATATCGCGCAGCACGCGTTTGACGAGGTCCAAGTGCACCCCGCCCGTGATCCCACCCGCAGGTCCAGCAGCAGTGCCCCTCCGCCCCGCCGATCCACATTCTTGAAGTTTTGCTGAATAATCCTCTCAGGCGCGTGGCCACAATGCCCCGCTCTCCCCCTCCCCCCGCTACCCTTTGCACCACTGACCCACCGTCTCGGAAATTTGTTGAATGATGCTTTCTGGAGCCTGCCCGGATCGGTCAATGTCACGCAGCACGCGTTTGACGAGGTCGAAGTGCACGCCGCCCGTGATGGCCACCCGCAGGTCCAGCAGCGGCCTCACCCGCTCGTTGAGCGCGTGAATGCCCTCCAGGATGATCACACGTGACTTGGGCACCGCTTGCTCCCTGCAAGATGTGAAGGGCACACACGAATATCACATGACAAGGGCGTGATGAAGGAATGGATGGCCACCCGCAGGTCCAGCAGCGGCCGCACCCGCTCGTTCAGCGCGTGAATGCCCTCCAGAATGATCACACGCGACTTGGGCACCGCTTGCTCCCTGCGGGACGTGAAGGGAAAACGTGAGGGAGATGAAAAGGTCGTGAAGAAGGTGTAGATTGGCACATGCTGCGTGTGGCTCGTAGGTCCCACAGCGGCCGCACGCGCTCGTTTAGCCGCCTTGAAATGGTATTCTTTCGATCGAAACAACCAGATTTGCACAAGTATCAATCCTGACAACACGTCCATGAAAAATGGCACGTGTTTGGACTGGACCCCCTGCAACATAAACGAGGCGCAGGGCGCGCGCACCTGAAGCCGACGCGCTGACTGGATTTGAAGTCGTAGATGGGCACCTGCACCGCCTCGCCTCGCCGCAGCCCCTCGATGTTCTCCAGCAGCAGCTCGTAGTCCGTGATGCGCGGATCTGCAGTGTGGTTCCATGCGGTTAGATGGATTTTGACGCGTTTCAGCGCATTACGTTGCAATTTTATTCGTTCACACATGCTCCAAATATGGCAGCGAGTCTCGGAAAGAACTGCAGGAAAGCACTCGACATCTGTTCAACGGACGTTCTCGTTTTCACGTCACCCCACACAGAATGGATAAGCCTGAGGAGCATCGGAGAGGGCAACGGACCGTCGAATATGCCATGATGACGCGCGGCGAAGCGACGTTGCAATCGTCCATGGAGACGACAACGCCATTTTGAATCGTCTCAAAAGTCACGGGAGGGGGGTGAGTGACTGACCGTCGAAGTTGCCGTCGATGACGCGCGAAGCGACGTTGTAGTGGTCCATGGAGAGCACGGCGATGTTTGAAACGTCTAAAAGCTACCGGCGAGGGTTAACTGACCGTCGAAGTTGCCGTCAATGACGCGCGAGGCGACGTTGTAGTGGTCCATGGAGAGCACGGCGATGGAGGGCATGAAGCCCGCCACCTTGTGCGTGAACGCCGTCTTGCCCGCGCCCGACGGCCCCGCCAGCCCCACCAGTATCACCCCCGCGTTGTTCTGCGCTCCGCGCCCGATCACGCGCGACGGAAACAGCGTCGGACGGCGGAAAAGTGGTGACGAGTTGAATCAAATTTGAAGCCGAATGCAGAATTATAACGGACAGCGAACCAGAATGTGAACGGTACATAGGCAATGAAGCTGAATGTCCCACTGAAGAGGACTGACACATAGGCATTGAAGCTGAATGTTCTTGTAGCCATTCGACAGCCACTAAGCGGCAGAAGCCATCGCAAAGGGATGCGAGAGAGCTATCCAAGCGGATGCCACATGCTCAACCAAGCCAAAACTTGGCATGGAAAAAAAAAACGAGAAAATACTTTATATAGATAGTCGCAGTTAAACGAGAGAAGCAGCAGCCAGACCCACCTGTGTGAGCAGCTGGACGGCGCGGATGAAGAGAAAGAAGCCTTTCTCGAACGACAGCTGCTCCTCCACCGGAGCTATCTCCTTCCGCGCCTTGCCATCCGGCATCACTCGCCGCACCAGCCGCAGCTGGTTCTTCAGCAAGCCGGGCCGCCGCGAGCTCGGCTTTTCCCCGTACTCCGTGAATGAACCCCCCTTGGACGGCATTGTTGGAACGTTTCTAATAGAAACTTTACGCGCGTTATAAAACGTTAATTAGTGACACTGGTGAGGAACAATTAGATGGGAGATTTAATGTGAAGAGCTAATTTGTAGCAGTTAGAATCATGGAATGAGCGACCGCTTTTGACGAAAATTAGGAATGAATATAATGATGCTCTCGCTTTAGGGAACGGATTGCATCAGCCGACAGAACACAGAGGCCCTTTATAAAATGCTCACTCGCTCCATGCGCTAAATGCAAGCCCAACAAAAGAAGGGACAAAATGCCTGAGGAACCCTCTAGCAGTTTAGTGGGCTGCACACATAAAAAGGCTTTGGCTACTCCTTCAGCCAAGAGAGCACTATATTCCGACATGCCTCCATGCCAGCCACAGGGGTGCAGAAGAAGGCTGTGAAAGCTGCTTCTGATGGTGCTGCCTTTCCTGCTACTGGATGGTTTTTGTGCGAGCAACTTCCGAGGGTCCTTTGTCTGTGTGGATTGAGCGACTCCCTGACTGACTTTTCATTGGCTCCGCCGACAAAGCAAGGCAGTGAAGCAGGAGGAGATCCCGAGGTTCGATTGGGTAGTCTGTATGACCTGCTGAAATGGGCAGGTGTGAAAAGCGTCAACAGAGGAAGGCACCGAGGCCGACGGCACGTGCGCGCCTCTGCCCTCCCACCACCACCACCACCTCACGACCTCACGATTGCCCTACTTATCTATCACCCCTCTCCACCTTGTTCTCTTCAGCGTGTCAGAATCTCGGCACGTGCAAGGACGGGCCCGAGGGTGACGGCACGTGCGCCTGCCCGCCCACCACCACGGGGCCTCTGTGCGAGCTCTGTGCTCCCAACTACGACCCAGACACCAAGTGCACCACCAGTAAGGCTTGTTACCTTTTTCTCCTAGGCGCTGCACTTTGCCTGTTTTGACGTGGCCTTTGAGTGACCACTCAGTCAGCACGGGGCCTCTGTGCGAGCTCTGCGCTCCCAGCTACGATTCGGATACCAAGTGCAGTGCACCACCTGTAAGGGTCTCTCTCTGAGGCGCTGCACGTAGGTTGTTCTGATGTGCCTTTGGAGTGACTATTCTGCCACCTCGAACCCTTTCTGCGAGCTCTGCGCTCCCAACTACGACCGTGGTCCGCGGAATCACGTGCACCACCAGTGAGGTTATGTGGCGTACTGAGTCAAGTGAACGAGGAAGGCACTGGTATTCTGCGTACTCTACTGCCTTCTTTGCGTGCTTGTCTGACTGACACAACTGCTCCTGCCCTGCACTAAGGCCGTTGCTGTTCCCTCCCAAGACCCTGTTTTTCTCTTCTGCTGCCCTGTTCCCTGTCTTACCCTCCCTCCAGTTCTGGACGCCTGTGCAGCATACATCAATGACACGGCAGCAGAGGACAGCGCGTTCGCCAAGTGGTGCAAAATGCGACCCAATGGGGACTGTGTCTCCGATTTTGACGCTGTGCCGACCCGCTCGACCTGCGGGTGCCAGACGGGGTACACCTTTTATGAGGAGACCCAAACATGTCTTGGTGAGTGTGCTTAGCTTATGGTGTGCTTACATGTATTTTATTTTGGAGAAAAGTGCGTGCATATGGTTTTTGTTGCGCTTTTACTGATTTGTGAGTTTGTGTTTTTTACGAGGCAGATATTAACGAGTGCAAGCTGAGGCCGTGTGTGGATGTGAAGAACTCGGTTTGCATTAACCTGGTGGGAACGTACAATTGCACGTGCACAAAAGGTTATGTGGCTACACTTGTGGATTCTCTTAGCATTGTTCGCACATGTGAGAAGCCCGCTCCTCCTACGCCGACCAAGGTCATGTTTCCCATGCCATGAACGGAATTGGTGGATGTACTGTAAATCTGTGTAATGGGTAAGATACCATAAGAGAATAAGTACTGTAACGTAATTTGTGTAATCTATGATGTTTTCTTTTGTAATTTGTCTGGACGGGATAGTGTACCATCAAGACCAGTGGATGCTTCGCCCAAGTGGATGACCGTACATAACCATGAATTCAGGCGACGCTGGGACCACTTTCGATTGGGGTTGACGTGGCAAAGCGATCAAGGGTGTTCGGGATTGATCGGTCGTACAACAAGTCGCATCGCAAGCCGTGATGTTATCGCATAAGGCTCGTTCCGTTCCGTTTTACGTTTCAAAAGATTGGGTTGTCGTACGGATATGCGAGCACATGGACTCGTCGCATGCCACAAACACTGCTCTGCTCCAAGCCACAGAATCATCTCGGGCAGGATTCCTTCAGGTGAATTTTAAACCCCAGTCATTCGACCTCCATGTACACTACGCTTAGTGGATGTTTAGTGAACTTTTACCATTTTCTGGTACAAAACTCAGTGTTTTTACGGTCAGCTCCCTTTCCTTTGTGATGCACCTAGCCTGACCGCCGCCGAGCGTGCTTCCCTCCATGCATTTCCCCCTAACCGAGTCTCCTCTCCTCCACCAGTCCACCCCACACCACACCACCACCACATCACTCGCAACTCGCATCGCAACGCAACCCAAGCTTCTCATCTCACCTGACCGAGTTTACGGTTTGCCCTGCGGCTGCATGCAAAGTACACTGTACTTCCAGCCGCCACGCCTCATCCTTTCATCATGCATGCAAGGTGCAATTCTGCTGCGAATGCAATTTTACCTCCCATCTCGTCCCTCCGCCGACCGATCGCGCCGCCCGCCAACCTCTGGCTTCTTGGCTCTGCTGGTCCCGCCTCGTCCTTTCTCCAAAGGTTGTTCAATGTGCTCTTACTCTTGGAAGAGTAAGAGAGACAGACAGCCCTGCTCTGCCGTTCTTCGCAGCTGTCAGAAAAGCTTTTCCTTCAATGTCCAAGGGTCCTGAGCCACACCCCAGTTTCTGCTCTCCTACTCTTGGATTCAAGATAAGAGACAGACAGCCCTGCTCTGCCGTTCTTCGCAGCTGTCAGAAAAGCTTTTCCTAAAGCTAAGACTGGCGCACCTTGCGGCTGCACTCTTACCGCCGTTTGTGCTCCCGCAGCGCAGATACGGAGGCTATGTAGCCGCTAGTATCCAAGTTCTGATATCCGCCGTTCTTTGGTGGGCACCGCCATATCTAGTTTCAGTCGACTCAAGCGCCTTCCAAACGTCGTTCACACGACTTTCCAAGCACGCTCAGAAGCCGAGGTGACTTTTGAGTCGCGACTCGAACGCACAGCCCGCTGCCATGGAGGACGCGTGCAAGCCGTCGATGCTCCATCCGTGTCCGAATCAACCGACCAGCGGCTCCTTCTCCCCCTCCACCTTCGCAGCCGCTCTCTCCGTCTGCCTTATCCTGGTTTTCACCGTCGCCGTCGCCGTCTGCGTGATCCGACGACTGAAATGGTTCGAGATTAATCTTGACAGCGGCCCCGCGGCGGACCGCCCGCACCCGCGGGTGATTTGGGTGCGACATATGGACCAGAAGCCCGCGGTTCCCGGGCTCGACCGCGCCACGATTCGCTCGTTCCCCGTGTTCACGTATCGCGGTTCGGACGGGTTGGACGGTCTAGGGAGTGACGGGCTTCTTATGGCGGAAGACAGCCGTTCTGGTTACCCCGCACCGTGCGCCGAGAATTGCGGGGGAAATTGCCCCGAAAATCACTCCGGTTCTCAAACGGGCGACCACGTAGCGATTACCGTCGCCAGCGACTCTGCGACTCTTTGCGACGATGATGTAGTCGCACCGGTGAGCGCGACAAACAACGCGGCGACAATTGACTCAAGTTCGTGCGACAGCCTTCCGCGCAGGCCCGGGCGCGCGGAGAGGCTGACGCGCGAGTGCGCGGTGTGCCTGGGCGAGTACGCGGCGGGCGAGCGCATCAAGGTGGTGCCGGCGTGCGCACACGGCTTCCACGCCGACTGCATCGACCTCTGGCTCGCCGCCAAAACCACCTGCCCCATCTGCCGCCGCGACCTGACCCCTGTTAAAGCCTCCAGTATCCCCATTTCCCGCACCAACTCCACCATCCCCACCATCCCCACCGTCCCCACTCAAGAGAGCAACTCCTAAGGCCCTTCGCCCCCGTTCCCCCCATCGCCTTCGTCATCCCCTCGCCAAAGCCACCTGCCGCATCCCCCTCCCCCTCTTCCCCCCCCCAAAGAAAACCTTTCGCGGGCGGGAGACGACCTTGCGGGCGGAACGCGGCGAGCGGGCCGCATCTGCCGCATTATTGCCAAATCCACCTGCCGCATCTGCCGCCGAGACCCCTGCCGCCCCGCCAAAGCTGCGACTCGTAAGCCTTTCATCCCCCCATCGCCCCATCGGTCCCACCCCCCCATCGCCCCCATTTCCGCCCATCGTCCATCGCCCCCATTGCCTCCCATCTCCCGCAATTCCGCCCATCACCCCGCCAAAACCACATGCCCCGCCCACCGCGGTCCGCGCAAACGCCGCCACTACCCTCATCCCGCGCACCCCTCTCCCCCTTAATCAACCTTAATACCCGACTGTGGGCGGAACTCTCCGCGGAACCCTCGGCGGAAGCCGCCACTGCCCGCATCCCGCGCACTCCCCTCCCCCCTTATTTAACTCGAGAACCCCCGATGGACGATAGCTAAAGCGGGGAAGGCGGACCGAGGGGAAGGCCGCGGGCACAGGAGACCAGAACAAGAAAGTTGATGAACGGGAGGCGTACGATAGAAGCGGCGGGAGGCAGAAAAGCGGAGGGGCTGCAGGGCAATATTGAGTAGACTGAGAAGCAGCAGCAGCGGACGAATTGGGGGTCGCATGGGTGCTGGTGGAAGCGTGGGGAAACAGCAAAGGGGATGTGACTAGAGAAGGGGGGGAGGGGGGAGGGGATGTGGGGAAGCGGAACAGCATGTGGAACGAATGGAGCAGGGGGGGAGGGAGATTGAACTTGGGGGGTAATTTCCCTCCTGAAGACCTGGATTCGACTAGCGTGATGCCTATGACTACAGTGATGCAAAAAAGGTTGTAATGCCTTGCTCCGAAAGACCTATGGCGGGTGTATTTCCCTCGA